TTGAATGGATATACTGTATCAGTGATGGACATAACATTTTCATACAGAAAGAGGGAAAGAAAAGAGAGAGAGAGAGAGAGAGAGAGAGAGAGAGAGAGAGAGAGAGAGAGAGAGAGAGAGAGCAGTGAAATGACAACCAATTCAATTGAATAGCAAATGAGATCAAATAGATTGATGTATAGATTTGTTGATATTATTTATCTAATACATTATACATAAGGAAAAATGTCTTTTATTTTTTTGTGTCGTATTTTTCATTGAAATGTTTTGTTGTTAATTCTTAAGAGATTTGTTATTCATAGAGTAAACAAAAATAAATAAATAATACAATTCTTTTAATATGTTTTTTTCTGCTTCAAGTGTAATATACAGTATAATAAATTGAGACAACAATAATCAACAACAAAATAATGTTTGTCATATTAGCACAAATAAATTTAATGATAAATAAATAATAAAATAATTAATTTCTTAGTATTTTATAATAAGATATCAAATAAATAATGAATAATTTATTAAGAAAATGCATAAAATAACAATAGATTAATCATTTCAAATTAATGCATTTTTTTGTTTAAGTAATTTTTATAAATATATAAACAAAACAAAAAATAACAAAAATATAAGTATTGTATAATCGATTTGTTCAAACTCTTAGTACAAAACATAATATATATTTATATATATATATTAATAATAAAAGAAAAACATGTGAATAATACAATTGAAACCATTAAAAACATTTTAACATAAAATGCTTAAAACATTTGCAAGAATTTTGTTGTTAGTAAAGAGCGAACCAAATGTATCTCAAAAACCCATTGTCTTCTCAGTTGTTTCGATGATTGCAATACTATATTAAGTTTTCCTATCATTTAATATTATCTATCAAACAGTGAAATATCACTTTTATTTTGTGTTTTTTACTTGTTATGCCTTTTAAGCCTTAAATTAGTTGTAAGAAAAGATTTTTATTAGATATAAGGGTACTATTTATAGTATAATATTCAGTATACTATAAGCTATGCACTCTTTCTGCAGTATATATCAATTTATATAAAAGAACAGAAAGAAAGAGAGAAAATATTTTACTCTTTTATTGTTATTTTTTGAATTATAGTTTCTTTTGAATAAAAGGAATATTCTTTTAACAGATTACTACTTATATATACAGTATATATACTATGAATTGCTTTTCACTATAATTATTATATATTTTATTAATGACAACAGCTTTGATTAAAATCAACATTAGATATAAATATATATACATTTATTATATATATACTGTATATATGTATACATAATGAGAATGAGATTTATTTTTGACAATAAAAAACTTTTCACGATCCATTAATTTAAAAATATATTTTGAAAAAATAATAATACATTAATTTATTTTTATTAAAATACAATAGCATTAAAAACTGTACATACAATACATAGAGTTAGTTAAAGATGCTATTATTATTTTAAAATTGTTGATATAAAATATATATATATTATACATTAACAATACAACTAATTTATAAATTAAACAATTTAATTTATAACTGTTAACATATAACTTAATTATTTTTATTTTGTATCTCAATTTAGGATCAATTTTGGTCAACAAGAAGTCAATCTAAATAATAGAAGACATGAATTGAATTGAGAAACTGCTGTTTGTTTTGATGTCATTCAAGAATATATATTCTTTAATGAAGTCAACTATAGTGTCACATATGAGTGCATAACATTTAGGACTAATGTTTGCTATCAATCCCTTTAAGGCTGTCTCTCATCTGTAAAATCAATGTAATCCTTAAGAGAATTGAATAAATTTATCTTTTGTTTTATTAGGTATTCAATGAAGTCTTTGGATAAATAATGTAGACGTGTATTGAAAGAGACATAACATTGACTAATGGTCTCGTTATATATACATTGATATATATATATATATATATATGAATAGTATTTATATATAATTCTGTTTTATTAATTCATATATATATATATATATATATATATATATATATCGGGTCACAAATAAACATCAAAAAATTGACTTATTATTGCATAGTTATTAAAGCTTATAATGAAAATTATTTGAGAATTATATACTGAATATTAAATATTGTTGAAAAAATACAGTTATAAAATCAAGAGCATACTTGACAAACAAATTAGTCCAATCATTACTATTACTATAATAGAAATTGCTATAAATTTAGAGAGAAAGTGAGAGAGAGAAAGAAAGAAAGAGAGAATTAGTAATTATTAGCAAAAATGTTCATATATTGTATAATTTAAGGATAAATTAAAGACAGTGAGAAAAGTCATTTAGTTTTAAGTAATGTATTATTATACTGTATTATATATGTATGTGTGCTATACATACAAATTTATGAATTGGTTTGTCATAAAAAATATACATAAATTATATTTGTAAATAAAAACTGGTTATACAAACTGTATTGTAAAAAATATTTATAGTTTACTAAATAAAATATATTTTTAATAATTCAGTCTATTTATTAATTAAAATAATTATAATTTTGTACATTTCTGATACACTCTTTAAATACTCTTGTAATTAAAATATAAAATAATAATTAAAACACAATTCATTAGTTATAAATAAATACAAATAATTGAGACTATAAATAATTAAAAATAAATATAATGTCTTTTTTTATTATATATATATTTAAAAATTAATAGTTTATACAGTACAATATATACTGTATAAATATATATATAATATATATAAATTAGTTTCGCAACCCATAAGTCAGTAAAGCATAACAAAAATATAGTAAACAAAATATTATAATAAAATCTATTATAATATATTTAGGCAAATGTCACGATTAGAAAGTTTGTTCACTTTTTTAAACAATTTTTTATCATATTATTGTTTATCATTGTATTGTTTAGTCAAACAATCGTAACATATTTATAACTCATTCATTCATTGTTTCAAAACATTTCAGACTAAACGCCCACAACTTTTAACAGTTATTATTAGAGCATTAAATAAAAGTGATTTTAATTTTTCTCTCCAAATAAATTATTTTGATGTGTAATAATTAAAATAAATTACATATTAAGTAATGAATACGAATCGCTTTAAATCAAGTATTTTAACAAAAATTTTATATTGATTATAAATAACTTTACACTTTATAGTTTATAGATAAAGTTTATACTATTTTTAAAAAATATTATTGTTAAAATTTAGTAAATAATTATTTAATTTATTCAAAAATTATTGAATTAGATTAGAATATTAAATGTAAAATAATTATAATTATATAATTTATATTAAAAGAATATTCTATATAAAATTGTAATGTATAATATAAATGTATTTTTTTATTTTGTATATTTTTCATAATCAATGCATTTATTAAATAAAATATTAAAAACTTTAAATTTGACAAATTAAATGCCTAATAATTTTTATACGGTATAACATAGTTTAGTAAATATAAAGTATTAATTACTTATACAAGTACTGGAAATGTTTAGAAAATTAATTAGATTATATAATTAAATTAAAAAGTTTTCAACTATAATAAAATTAAATGAATCAAAATGTCAAATAAATTTAAATGTTAAAAATCTAATTAATTATCTTATAATTGCAAAATAATTTATTACTGTATAAGTTGTATCGATATTTTTTAATTAAAATATAATGATAATAAATTTATAATGTTAACAAATTCAAAATTATTAATAATTAGTTTAGTTATTTAATTATAAGTATATTTATGTCACACTAATGATTAAATTTAGGATAAAATACAAGTGTTATAATAAATATTTCATATATAATGTCAATCAATGTGATGGTCTGGCACTGCCCTAATTTGGTCAGTTGGCTTCAGTGTGTGTGTGTGTGTGCGATACGGAAGTATAATAATAATAATAATTTATATATTATATTCGGTTTATATAAATACATAATAATATTTTTCTTATTATTTTTTAGACACTAAAATTAGTCAATTATTTATACAGAGAGCACACACAGAGATTCAAACAGTGTTTTTCAAAAAAAAAATAAATAATAAAAAACTAAATAAACGGTATTTCACACAAAAGTTGACTAAACTTTTGTTACAATTTTTATTTTTTACTAATGACTGGCAAAAGAGTAACTCAATTATAAAACCATATGTTTGTCCCCACAAAACAATATTACCTCATATTGTATATGCAATCAAATTATTTTTCATTTTTAAATACAATTATTTCCTACTTTCTCTCTCTTATATAATAATAATAATATTAACGCAAAACCTATTATTTTTTGTTGCAATTAAAATATTACAAAACTCTATACACATATCACACACACACTGGAGTTGGTTCACACAAATGGCAATTATTATTATTTTTTTCAGACAAATATATATATATTAATATACAGTATATAATAATTATTTGGAGATTTACTACTCGGATCTATAAATTTAATTATCATTTTAATAATATATTAATAATTTGTCGCCAAAAATAATAATAATTATATTTTTAATTATTGACTTCAGTTGACATCAATTTTAATACTTATAATTTACATACAGTTTATGTAAAAAAATTGTTTAATTTAGTCGACACTAGAGGTCGACATAGAATTGAAATAAATATTATCAGAAAATATACAGTCATTTGTAATAAAATTTTTTGTATATAAAGTAATATTATGTTTGCTTACAAAATATACTCAATAATACCTGTACTTCAATAATAATAATAATAATAATAAACTACAGTTGACTGTAGTTGTTATGACACATAAAAAGTTAAAATAAATATATTTTGTTGATTACAGTAGTATTTCAATCATAAAGTGTGATAAACAACAGTTTAGTGCTATTTTAGTGATAATTATTTGCAACAAAAATAATAAATTATTGAAATTAATTGCAACGGATTTGTGAAACAAATTCACATAAAATTTATGGTTTAAAAAATTCAATGAAAATTATCATCAAATTAAAAGTTAAATCAAATTTTAAAAATTATTTTCGGATAAATTGGTTGTCATTGATAACGAGCGCCGACTGTAGTGTCGACTCATAAATGTTTTGACAATATTTTGTATGAAAGAAATGATTCATTGATTGCATTACTCATTCAACTGTTGTTTATGTTTTGACTTTGAATTTGTGGCAAACATTTGGTTCACAAATGTTTTGGTCTCACCATTGGATCAAATAATGACAACTCATTTCTCCATTTATTGTCTTACTTAACAAATGAACGATTATTTTGTAATATTTGTGTAAAATTATAAATATATCCCGAAAAGTGATGCAAAACTCTTCAAATATGATCTCATCGTCGAGTGGTTCCCACCGAAGAGTGGCCTCCAATTCATCGACTTCTTCGGCCAATTTGAATACCAACACTAAAGAGCTATTAAGACCGCTATCGCTGGCCGAGTGTGTGGCCGATGGTTCGCCGCCACCGCCTCTAGTTATTAATGACAAAGTGGTGTGGATTTCGGACAACGGGCCAGAGTATGGTGTCGTCAAATGGTTGGGCAAATTGCCCGATGTTGGCAACGACTGGATGGCAGGCGTAGACTTCATTAATCCGGTCGGTTCGGGAACTGGTCTCTATAATGACCACCAGTTGTTTGATACGCGTATAAATCACGCGTCACTCGTGCCAGTGATTGGTCTAATGAAAGCTCAGGACTATTTGGGTGCCTCCAACCCAACCGCTGGTCTCATATTCAGTGGCAGCCAATCGTCAACACCACAAAAGCCTCGAAGAATTAAAGCAAATAAGAAAGAATTAGAAGTGAAAAGTGACGACAAAAGAGTACCATTAAGTCATTTGTCGTCGAATCATAAGACATCTGATGGCAGTCCTATTGAATCTCATTTAGTGACTATCAATGACCCAATCAATAGATCATTGCATAGCAAAGAAAGAAGTATAGATTCACCAAAATCTAAGTCAAATAATACATCCAATTCATTGATTTCTTATTCATCTCCAACTGAACCTCCGGTGAGAACGACATCACTTTCTTCACATTTAATCGAAAAGCAGCAAAAGGTTGTCGACAAAGAAACAACCAATTCTTGGAATAATAGCATTTCAAGCGCTGGATTTAGCTCTCAAATCAATGGCGTGAATGGAGATCGAGATTTTGAGATCGGCTCTGTAGTTGAGATCAGTATTGATGGTATTCCCAGGTTTGGTGTCGTCCAATGGATAGGTCTGTTATCTTTGAGCTCAGGGGATGAAAATTATGATTCAGGGGATTGTTTAATGGCTGGCATCGAATTAGAAGACGAGTTGCCCGGTCTGTCTGATGGCACTTATAATGGGAGGCGTTATTTTGAATGTGCGCCCAGAAAGGGGTATTTTGTTAAACTAAACCAATGCTTAAAAGACAGTCGATTTGCATCGATATCTGAGAGAAGAAGAAGTGCTTTGTTTGGAAGCATAGACTGTCCGACAGTTACCGGAGATGTGCCGCCGCTGAGCACTAGCGAAGACCTTCAGGCTCTTTGCGGTAAAAACCGAGGAATTCAGGGCCACCACAACTCATGCTATTTGGATGCAACTCTATTCTCAATGTTTTCGTGTACAACAATATTTGAGTCACTACTTCATCGACCGCCGCGAACCGATGACATACCTGAGTATAAAGAAGTACAGAGAATACTGAAAGAAGAGATAGTTAATCCTCTTCGAGCTAATCTATATGTCAGAGCAGATCGTGTAATGCATTTGCGAACACTTCTCGAGAAAATTAGTTCAGTTCGCGGTCTGACTACAGAAGAGAAAGATCCCGAAGAGTTTATAAACCTATTGCTAAATCAGATACTAAAAGCCGAACCATTTCTAAAGCTAAGTTCTGGTTTGGAGTCATTCTTTTACCAGTTGTTTGTTGAGAAAGACGAAAAGCTAACACTTCCAACTGTTCAACAATTGTTTGACCAGTCGTTTCTAGCGTCGGACATAAAACTACGAGAAGTGCCGCCGTGTCTACTCATTCAAATGCCACGATTTGGCCGACAGTTCAAAATGTATCCCCGAATTGTTCCCAGTCTTTATCTGGACATAACCGACGTATTGGACAACAGTCCCCGACAGTGTGCGATATGCGGTCAGTGCGCTGAATACGAATGCAAAGAATGTTTCGGTTTGTTCGGTGAGGGTCTCGACAGTACAGCCTTTTGTGGCAAATGTATTGAGAAGAATCACTCGCATAAAAAACGATCCAAACATAAGACAACCAAACTGTCCATTCCTACGGAGTTTAATATGTTGAAAGAGCACTCACAGGTGCCACGCATTTACATGGAATTGTTTGCTGTCCTATGCATTGAAACCAGGTTTGCAATCAATTGTTTTATCAATAATTATGATGATTACTGACAATAGTATTGTATGATTAAACTGTTTTTACCCCCACTTGATAGTCATTACGTATCATTTGTAAAGTGTGGATCGGGTCCGGACAGTCCCTGGTGTTTCTTCGATAGTATGGCCGATAGAAAAGGTAATCTATTAATAATTTGTTTGATTAATGGGTATTAAAAACTAATTTCAATTGTATTACAGGCGAACAAAATGGTTATAATATACCAGAAGTCGTGTCTTTCCCAGACTTAAGGTATCATTTATTTTAATGTTTCAAATAATGAGTTATTAATAAATGCAGTTAGCATTGAAAGTAGTAATACTGTAGTAGTAATGCCTATTTAAAATGACACGACTATGTGATGTGTCTGTCCTTGAAATTTGTTAATTTGTGTCCATTTATTAGGTGGTGGTTGAGTGAAGAGGGAACCACATTCTTAATGAATACTAAAGACGACAAAATGTTACCCGAAATGCCGAGACGTTTATTCTCTGACGCCTACATCTGTTGGTACGCATCTGATGTGTTAAGATATAGATAGACTTCAAAAACGACACAAAAAAAATATATTGATTTTAACTTTTCATTCATTTTTTAAGGCCATTCATGCCTTTAACAGCAAATTAATTGCTTTTTATTGTTAATGTATAGTTAGATATAACTAAAAAAAGTATATATAATATGCGATTTTCACAAACAAATCAATTTCTTTTGTTTTTGTTTCAAATGCCTTATTTAGAGTGCAAAAGAAGCGAAAGTTTATTTTGAATGTTGAATCACTTGTTTTTAACTTATTTTTCTTTTTAATTATATTTTTAAAAAATATTTATCAATGTTTTTTTTGGGTATATATCTATCTTAGATTTTGTTGTTATAATTTTTATTATCAAATTTGTAAGCTATTTAATAGAATTGTTATTATTATAATTGTAATTTTTATTAGGAATTAAATCAAGTAATATAGCATAAAGAGAGAGAGAGAGAGAGATCAGAGATTATATTATGTGTATAGTTTATATTTACTGTATATTATTATTTACAGTATTGTATCGATAAATAAAATGAAATTATTTACCAGCGGAACAAACTTAACTATATTATAAATAATTGGAAAATATTGTACAATATGTGCTGAACTGGTAAATTGTACTATAATTTTGGCAATTAGTCACAACGTAATCGATAACTTATACTGTAATTTGTATAATAATTATAATATAATAATAAAAGCTAATATGTATAATCACCACTTTGTTATTAATAATTTTGAATTAAAGGAAAAAATATTTAAAAAACTAAAATATATAATAATAATAATATTAATACTTAAAAACAAAATAAGAATAAATGATTTTTTTTCAAAAACAATAAAATTATGATATAATAATTAATGTCTTTTTGTTTGTATTAAAAATTACTAATTTTTAGTGAAATGTCAAAAAACAAAAAAATTTATCATTTTATATTTTTCGATCACAACTGTATACGATTTGATATAATTGGTACAAATATATAGGTATATATCGTGTGATGGATTATACAGTATATTAAAACATATTGTGCTTTTATATATTGATTTTTGTCGGGCAAAGAGATATACATATATAGAGGAAGGTTAGGCAATGTTCATAACTGTTAACACGAGATTCCGATAGCGTTTTATCATTAAACGTCATCCATGTCTAAGTCGTTGTCACCGTAGCAGTCAATGTTTGACAATCCCTCATAACTACCCATTTTGCTAAAATAACAGTTAATATCAATTATTAAAAGAGAAGAAAGTTGTTTTACATAAATAATAATAATTATAGGTTTATAATAAATCAAATGCATTTGTAATTACATGCGATCCGTCATAATGTATGAAAAAATGTGGGAAAGGCATACCTGACTGCGCGATACGTCAAAAAGACAATGCGTTTGAGTTTTTTGGAGTAGAAAAAGTAATTATAAGACCAAAGGCATCCGTCTTCTCCATACGGATCAGAATTGAGGTCAGGATTATAACTGTTAGGCAATAAAAGCCAATAAACATATAAATGTTAGACAATTGTAAGGCATCACTATATAAGTTATACTTTATATAAATGCTTTTTCTATTGATTTACTATTATATACAAGTGTTTTGTGCTACACTTTACTATTATTTTTTATAGGATTATTGAACAAAAAATGTTTTAAAAAACTTCTATAAGATATTTCCTTGTTATATATATATACTACTATGATATTTGATGGTTATGTATGTGTGCATCACTTGCCTATAAATGTCACAATCGGAAAGTGTTATCTCACAGTCAATGGCCGACCATAGCTGAGCTTTAATGGCATTGTATGCCTGACAGGCGGTTGTGTTGAAAAAGTTTGAATCGACCGCATCCATGACCCACTGATATGTAATACAAATATATATATCTCATGAAAATTTGATACATTTCCAAGAAAAAATGCAATTTAATATACAGTATGTTTAAAAGCTAAAAATTTCAAATAAATATAAAAATTTGTATTTTATCTACAAATATGTTTTTATCGATTACTTGCATCAGCACTACAATGTACTGTACAATATAATAGGCTTAAAATAACTCTCTATTGAAATAAAATATACCTTATTTCCGACTAAACTGTATTTGTTTAATCTATAAGACAATCGATCACTAATTCATATAATATATTGATTTAGTGAATACCATAGCTATCCTATATGTCTATGCAGTGGACTAAACGTAATGTAAACTAAAATAATGATAAAATGAAATTTCAGTGCAAACCTTAATACTCGGCTCTTTACTAAACTCATCGCTTTTTGAATTACTAAAGTCATAGTCCGGATACGAGGCATTGAGTGTCGCAATCAAATAGAAAAGTGTTTTTCGGCTGATTGTATCGCAAAGATGTCCTTCTCCTGCCTCTCCATCTGAGCTCTGACTTCGGCTATAAATTGATTCAAACATTTAAGTGGCATAAAGTGGTTAATCTTTTAGATCATTGAGTTCAATGGGTAATAATATTATGGGAGTTAACCATCACTTATATAGGATCCAATCAAAGACTTAAAATTATAATCAATGGGTCAATACCTATAAATTTTGTTAGGACTGTTGTTAGGGATTGCCATAATTGTTTGGGGAGGAGATAACGCCTGCAAATCATTAGGACTTTTGCCATCTCCTGAGTTCATAGTCTTGTAGAGCTTCTTCTCATTGCCAGCCATTTTGCACGAATAGATCTCAACTCTTGAAAAACAATAATAATATTAATGACAATAAAAAAGACAACAAAATTCATGTCAATTGTGGTTAAAATACCGGGCAATGATCTCATACTGATCGGCATCAAAATGAAGAGCACTATTAAGTGCTTCAAAACGACTGCTCTCCAGAAGTTTCATATCAATTGAGTTGGCATTTAAGCGATCACTCAATTACACAAAAATAACAAACAATAAAAATAACACTTAAAATTACAGACTATTAACCAAATAGTATTGTCAATAAAATAGTCAATTAAAACCAAATTTGTATGTTTTTGGATATCAGATAAAAATAATCTTTTTTGATAACCAACAAAAAGCAAACTTTTCTTAAACGATATGCAAATTGTATGCAAATTTGAAGTCAATTTGATTATCTTTTTAAGATTAAAGTTAAAAGTGTATCTTTAAAAGTATATACTGTAGTTATATTTAATTGCTTTAAAAAAAACAATTCAATTGAATAGTCGCTTAAAAAATGTTAAAACTTGGGACTAGAAATTCAATAGTAAAACCAATTATCAATAAAAATCAATTTTCTTTATATCTATTGTTGTGATGTTTTTTGATTTGATTTTTTTTATAATAATAATAATAAAGATTGAGATCTAAGTGTTTCAAAGTCCTTACTTATATCATATACTTTAGTGTAACGATTGTCAACAGTTTCAGGTGATCTCACAGATAAGTCTTTGGACACAATTTTGTTACCACACAATAAATAGTAGTTTTTAGTTGAAATTGTGGTTAAAATTTCTTTTAAAAACTACTCAAACGATTAGTAAAGTTTCTGAGAAAACTCTTTGGATGTCTTTGTATTTGTTTATTGTGTCTCATTATTGATGATATGGTCACACATTTGTCGCCGAATAATGGATTGTTTTGTTGATAATTGCCAGCAATGGTCGTCACCGATGAAGAACAGCTGATTTGTAAGCAGAACTGCATTTAATGTGTTGGTGGACGACCTCTTGTCGACCAATGATATGTCACCACAAATGGATCACTTGATTGTCGGTTGTGATACCAAACAAAATCGGTGAACAAAGAGATTAATAAATAATTGAAATCAATTGATACCAAAAATGACAATAAAAATCAAATAAATGACAAATAATTTTGTACACCAATTATGGGATGTTTTTTAATGAGTGATAATTGTGCTAATATTGTGGCAATTATTTTGATGATAATCATGTGTTAAGATTTGTAGATCAATTGGTCATCAAAATTGACAGCAAATGTTAACAACAATTAATTGCCATTAAATTAGACAACAATTGATTGACTGTTGCCATACACTCACTGACAGTACTATAACATAGACTTATAGTTATAACAATACAAATACAATGCAATGCATAACACAATGTCATTCATGTCAACACTAATGTCAAATTCAACCATAAATTACGTCTATTTTATTAGTGTCGTCAACGGTACGAATAAGTGCACGTTATTGACGCTCAGCAGCATATGATTTGCTGAGACTAGTGTTGCGTTAGATTGTTATAGTGTTGTGACACTTCACTGCACTGCACAACTGCATTGCAATGTAATGGAAAATATAGTGAACGCAATGCTATATTAATACTACTGTATTAGTAATAGTCAATGATATACAACACTAGTATTCAGTGAGACATTCATATAATATGGCAAACATTGCAATCATTGTAATCAATGGTATATTCATACGTGTTATACATTAAGTGGTGATTATTATGACTGTGCAGTCAGTAGTGTCAGTGCGGCGATGATGTCCAACGAATCCAATAATGAAGAACCACAAGACGATGGCCAACAAACAGACAATACCTGTGAATCTCCGCCTCCACTCTCGTCGCTTTCAATCAAAGAACCGCAAAAACCATTAGCACTACATTTGAGACCAACAGTGACCACATCTCCAGCCACGCCATGCAAAGAGCAACCAAACAAAGAGTTGCAACAATTAAAGTCACCGCTAAAGAGTCCAAAGAGTCCCACGAGTATAACAGCCAAGGCTTCGCCGCTGCGATCGCCACCAAAGTTGGCTACACTATCGAAGCCACTGTTCCTGAACCGCGGCGCCCGACACAGTATTGACGTGAAAGCCCTGCCCTCCTATTTGGCCAAAAAACGACAGTCAACTTTTGGGCAGTTCCTCTCTGGTATGTCTTAAAACACGACTGTCCTCTATATAAACATCAAATTCTTGCAATTCTTGTTATTCTTTATTCTTATATTTTTTATTTTCTTTACTTAATGTAATTCAATGCAAACATATATTATTTAATATACAGCTATTATATTGTATATTATGAAACATTTACTTAATTGCATACAAAAAAAGATAATATCATGCATTTAACGATGAAAATACTTTTATTACTAAATTTAATATTTTACTTATTATTATTATTACAACGATAGTGACAAAAAATCACGCAATATATATATATATGTGTATATATGACACTGTATATAAAAATTAAGTGATTATACTTGAGTTAATTGATTTTTATATATAATATATGCTATAAGATATAATAATTAGTTATAATAAAGTAACAAAAGATTTTTTTGTTTGAAATTTTAATAACAGATAATATTATGAAATATTTCCTGTCGTTTAACTCTTAATTGTTGTCAAATTATTAAAATTGTCTGCAACTATTTAAAAATGTACATGTATAAATATATACTGTATATAATATGTATATATAATAAACCATATATTCATTGTATGTTTTGCTATATCACATAAATTTACATTACAATAGACAAGTATTGAAATAAAAATAACAAAATATAATAAATATAAAGTACAAATATTTTTAGATATACAAACATTTGTTCATTTGATTATTTAGTGATTTATAAAAAAAATACTTTTAGCTTAATCTGAGAGTAAAATACTGACAAAACTTAGATTTATTAGATTTGTTTCAAATGAGAAATATGGATATAATCGATGATCAAAATAGCTTAAACTCTATACAAATTGAGTTTTAGCTTATTTTTGATACGTTTCTAATCGCTTATAAAATAAATTACATTTGCCTTTATTTTTGATGACCAAAAATAACTACATTTTATTATATCTCATGGGCTTAATGTTATTGATTAAAAGTTATATACGCTTATTATGTGAAACTTCCCTTTTTATGCAATTTTTTAGATATTTATCACTATTGAAATCAATGGTACCAAAGCTATTGTTATTTTTTGTTTGTTTGTTAACTATTTCTGTACTCTTTTGGTGATGATTATTGATTATATTAATAATACAAAAGTCCAATTTTGTAAAATAATTTTTTATCATCATTTTTGATCTTGCAAAACAACTTGTTTAATATATTTTTATAATCGTTATTATTATTATTATAATTTTCAATTTAAATTCCTTATTAAGTGTTTAAAAATTTCATAACACAATTCATGGATGATTTATCATAGTTTTATACAATATTTCAAAATGTGAGATATTATTATTATTATTATTCACACAACAAATACAGTAGTGTTTGGTGTGAAATATATTCATATATATATATATATATATGAATTGACATGAATTATTTACAATCATTTATCTTTATATAACAACATTATATAAATAACAGCAACTAATTGTGAATTACTATATCATATACATTATATATATATAATATGTATTATTTGTTATTTCAAAACCAAAAAAGTTATATGAAAAGTCAAATGCAATATAATATTGTAACGTTAATAGTGACTCTATGTTCAGATTTATATTCGTGTTTTAAAAATTGGTTAATTAGACTATATTTGCGCGTTTTGTTAATAGTTTACGGTAAGATTATCAAATTATCTTTTAAAAATAACTAAATTATTAATAATCTTATTTACTAAATTAATTATATTTATACAAATTTGTTTAATTATAAAAATTATGATTTAATAGAGATTGTACTAATTAAGTAAAGTTTACTGAATTGAAAACAAGTAATGGATAAAAAAATTGGATTCAATTATTTTATTATAAATAAACTTTTTTTAAAAAAACTGCTGATTTTAATGCAATAAAAATGTAGTTAAGTTGATGTATTATACAATGATGAATATGATATATTGAAACAAAAATAATGGTTTTTAGCAATAAATTATACTGAATATACAAAAACAATTCTATACAATGATTTTTTTGGCTATTTTTACATTTCCCGTATTATTAGAAATTTATTTTTATGAATCGGAAATTATTCATCACTTTTCCACATTTATATGATATCTGAATAATTTTATAATATATATATTTATTATTTTTTCCTATAAACTTAATATTTTTAACTTTTTAATATACTCTAACAATATTTTAATAACGGTATTTAAACTTACTATTAGATGATTTGATGATCACAATACTATAGTTATATTAAGATTAAATATTAAGTAATTTAATTAATTTAAAATTGGTTATAATAATTTACCATAGAAAATTGCAATTTTTTTTTATTTTTAAAAAAATATTCAATATAATTTAATTGTATTATTTAAATAAGACATTTAAAAACAAATAAAAAGTGTAATAAAAATAATAAAATTTTAGTAGTACTTACTATTAAATATTGTACTTCTAGTAGTATATAAGTTATATAACACACAAAAAACAATAATATTTAATGTTCAGTAGTATTTTAAAATTATTTTGACATTAATATGAAATATTTAGATATTTTTACAATTTCAATTGGATATATTTAAAATTGTTTTTTTAAAGTACTATATACTGTATGAGTATATAATTTATATATTAGTATTTTTCATAATATCACAAAATATAACTAAATTTACATAATTTCACATTTTTAATTATAGCATATTTTTATTGTTATTTTTAAACAGACAATTTTACGAAATTATTTAAAATAATGTCTATTATATTATAAGTGCACTGTTTATTAATGCACATAATATTATTAATTTTTAAATTTTATAACATTTAGTACAGTTTACTTTTGTTGTTATTGACGGAATAAATTTTTAATTCTGATATAACAAAATGTTAAAAAATATTTAAATAAAATAAACTATTTTTTCTGATCTAAATATATTTAACAATAATAATTTTAAAAAATCATAGTATGCTTGTAATAATTGTTGAACCACTGTATACTTATTTTTAAAAATTGAGTTGTTTTTATGTAATTATGAATTTTTATTTTAGTAAACTTAAGTCTATAATAAATAATATAAATATAAATGTCTGGTAGATTTAGTTATCTGGTAATTAATATGAGGTAATTTAATATAAAAATTTTAAGTACTGTTAAATAATGGATATGTTTTTGAAAAATTAAATACATTAAGTGCCAGTGAAACACAATCTAATATAAATTATTTAAGAGTTTTGAATTTCACTACAAAAAGCACTAGAATTGAAATATATAATACAATATAATTTATATACAGTATTAACAGTAATCTAGTCATGCATTTACTATAATTATCGATTATTATTGATCAAAATATTTCTAGTTTTGTATTATATGACATTAAAATGTGTCTTATTCTATGTATTCATATTCTGTAGGAAAACATTATATAAATATATATTTATGTCAGAGTATTATTAAATTATTATTTCATTTGTTATTAAATATAAAACAATTTTTTGTGTTGAAAATAAATTAAGATCATCTAAATTCTCTAATCAAGTAATTGCCTTTTGTTTGTATACCATTAAATGCAATGCAAACCTGCAGTGAATTTATAGATTTTTGTAAGAATTAATGATTAACTTTTTATATATTTTAATAAATATATTTATCTATATAATCAAACTGTGTATACAAAAAATAAATAATTTTGAGTAATTTTTTAATACTTTCAGTACTGAACCAAACAGCGCGTGACAACAGCTCTTCATCAGATGAGCCTATATTTGAGGAACCCATAGCACCTACACTATCATTAGGTGAGAGAGTAGCCTGGGTTAAGACCTCAGGTCCGGAGTTTGGCTCAGTTCGCTGGATTGGACGTATGCCTCAAGTGACCAACGATTGGACAGTTGGTGTTGAGTTTGTGAGTTGTTTTGTTTATAATAATTTTTTTGATTACAATTTGTTGACTTCTAATATAAGGACAACTGTATTGGTTCGGGTGACGGTACTGTTGACGGGCGCCGGTATTTTGTAGCAAAAGATAGTTTTGCCAAATTTCTTCCTCTATCAGCCCTCACCAAAGTGGACAACTATGCTGGAAGACCCCGATCAGGTATAACACCACTAAATATTTGAGATTTTGTTGTTGATTTAATGTTTAAAAGTAACAATTTTTGACAATTGATTAGTTTTGAATCAACTCACAGTATGAGAGATATAACATAAAAATATGTTTGTAAAATAAAACATTACGACAATATTTTTTAAATAATAAAATAATATACAAACAGTTGTTTTATCTAAAGTTTTATTGTATGAAACAGTTGTTTCAATCATTGAAAAACATTCAATTGATTTTCTTTAAGTCAATTTCACGTTCAATAAGTATAACACAAGATATATTGCTTTTGAGACATGTTTTATAAGTTTGAAAAAATGATTATTTTTCTCACAAAACTACTAATAATATACAATTGTTGTTCAGATGTAATATCGATTTAAAACACGTTTTATTTTTAAAACAAATAATATTAAAACTAAAAACTTTTTTTTTTAATTATGAGTTGAATGAAACTTAATGATAAATCAATTAAATCTTTTATTACAAAAAAGTCATTTATTTGCATTAAAACCATAGTTTTTTACAATAATTGCATTCACACAATGAAAAATAACAGTTTTAAACAGTTCTATTGAATTAAGTAATTATATATTTTATTTCTTTTATATTATTTTAACGTTTTGTTTTATTTGTAGACATTTGTCTCTAAAATAACATTATCTAATGAATTATAATTTGATAACTTCAGGAACTATGCTCTCAAGGATGTCAGTGCAGCTAAAACCGGGTCAACTCATTAGTATCCAGAGATCTCCCAGTGTTGTTGTACAGCACTGTTCACTGAATGCACCCCATCATGTAAGGACTAACTGTTTTTTTTTCACTATATTTCAATCAATGTATTCATTTGACAGAATTTTTTGAGTTGAAAATATTTTTAACATTCAATTTATATACTGTATATGTGTTTACTTTATTCATAAATTTGGAATTTATTTAATATTTTATTAAAATATATTCTGTTGTATAATAAAATTTCTATAAAAAAATATTGATTTGATTTTATGATAATTTCCAAAAATATATTTTCATTTTATTTTTCTTTCTTTTTTTTCTTTTGATATAATTTTTCTTTAGTGTCTAATGAAATGCTTAACACGTATAGTAATACTGTACTATTAGTATAACTTAATCGCATGAAATCAGTTGTAATTCACAAACGATTGCATGAATTGTAACGACAATAATAGTAGTGATGATTGCATTTTTGACATTTTGATCGCCCAATAAAATCAATTTATAATATGAATACATTTGATATAACGCTAAAAGAAATGCATGTATTATTAGGTGGGCCATGACGTGCATACAACTAACTTAAAGCACTGTCAGTGCTCCAGTTGTAACCACCCGTGCGCTCATTTATGTCAAACAAGTAGACCTAAGGGTAAACCCAAATGGATGGATCCGGGAACGGCTCATATGTGTCACTTCTCGAGCAAACCGCACAGCAAAATGTGTTGCGGCGGTGAAGATCTTCCCTCAGCTAACAAACCATTGACTTATCCCGGAAGCAGTTGGTTACCACAAACAGATGTGACATCTCTAAAGACAGTTCCAACAGAGACGATGGCACGGCGTAAATCTGTGACAATATATGACGAACGCAATGCTGTTCCGGTGGCCACAAGTGCTGAACGACAACCACAAGAATCGTTTCCGTTTCTTAATTATCCTCTTAAAGAGCGTCGCGGAAGTGATCTCTCTATTTCTAGTCTGCCATCGAGTGGTTCTCCGCAGCCCTACATTGCTCGAGGAGTTCTGACCGATGAATCAGATTATGACAGCGACACTGATCGCAGTTATCAAACAAAATTCGGTGGTTTCGCGACTATGGCCGATGGATTCAAGTCATTGGTCGCATGTTTTGCACAAAATCCTTCTTCATTGAGGGAAAAGAAACGAATAAAAGATAAACGAAAGCGAAAGCATAGAAAACAAAGGCGAAGAGCAAAGATTTCATATAATTCAAGACATCGAAGAGGTCTCAGTTCTGATGGAAGTTATACGGAACACGAGACAACTCATAGTCACAATCAGACACCCAGTTATATATCTAACGGTTCATCGCCTCGGATGCGCACAAACGCCTCGGATGCTGTGGCCCAACACAAGTCCACGTGTACGTCGCCGAAGCTATTTATGGCACATAATGGCGATGATTGTAAAGAATTTAAAGAAAAAGAATCGAAAGACATGAATGAGAGACATCCCGACAAAGATAGACAAACAGCCGGTGTCATCATCGAGGAAGAGCTGTCCAATTCAAATGAAATGCGAAGACATCGTGTGGACGACGATGTCATCTCAGAAGGAAATGAAGGTCAGGACGGCTGCACAAGTAGTAGTAAAAGTAGCAGTCATTTAATTACAACTATAGCTGATATTGAATCGACTGTAAACCATAGATCCCAGTCTTCGCAATCCAATCTCAGCGACAGTCTCTCACCGCGCAGACGTAAGAAAACAACGGCACCGCCACCGCCACCGGCGACCACAACAAGCAGTACGAGTCCAACATCGCTAAACCTATCCGTTTCCTCCACATCCCTACCCCAAACACCAACCCATTCCACAACAGCATCGATGAGTGGAACCATCAGAAGACGGTCTTATAAGAAACATCCGGCGCCAACACCACCCAACCTAACCCGTTCCCTATCAGAACAAAAACAACTGAATATGAAGAATATGATTAGTGCCGTTCCATCCTTTAGAAGTGAAGTGGATTTACAAGAAATTTCAAGAAAATCTTCACCATTTGATGATAGCTTAGACAGAGATAGAGATGTTATTAATTGTTAGTGACGTTTAGTATTTAAAAAAATTAGGAAAATATTATATTGAAATATAATGTAGATTTAATTAATTATAATTATTATAATTAATGTAAAAATTACTTTATAAAAATATATATGATATATGATATATACACAGTTATTAAATAAAAAGTTATTGTTATTATAATCTAAAAATTTTATCGATTTTTATAATGTTATTTATAATATTATAAAATAAACGATAATTTTTATAATAATATTTTCAATGTCACAGTTTAGCAATACATAGTACCGTAATATTGATTCAGTAATTTGATAACTCATTGAAAGCAAATTAGGTTTTTTTTGTTACATAAAAAATGCATTTAATAACAGACAATACACTCATTAATTAGTCGTATATTTTTATTTGAATGTATGAATTATTTAATTTAATTTTTTAAAAACTGGTAAAAGTATTTCGACAATAAATATAACCATTTATGACATCTTTTGGTAATAATTTTGTTTGAAAAAAATCTTAAAACTATAATAATCAATTTAATAATATATATATAATATATATATATTAAATAAATAATTGATTTAAATAGAATTTTCAAGATTTTTTAAAGAAATGATTTAAATACAGTTTACAAAGAGTGCTAAAAATTATTTAACTAACATATCATTTGAAAGTAATTATTGATAAAAAAAATTAATATCTGTGAAAATAAACTGAACTTATTTTATCATTTTTTTTTGTGTGCTTTATATGATTATATTACTTAAATAACAAATAAATTATATTAAATTTTAAAAAATATTATATTAGTTTTTATATATAGGGAATATTATTGGATTTAAATATTTATAAGTTATATTAATATTACATATTTAAAAAAACTCAATTTTGATAAAATCTATTAAATTTATTAACCAATAGATGTCATGTATAACAACATAACGATAATACAGTAGTTTTTATTACTACTGTATAGTGTATTAACAATCAAAACTTAAATTATTTTTCATATTTTTGAAATAATTTGTATTTGAAAACTAACCAAACAATTACCGATTTTTTTTTTGATAAAAAAATACTAGTAAAATAATTTTACTAATATAATATGCTTCCAAATTATTTTTAAAAAGTGATAATTTAAAAACATATACATAAAAAACATAAAAACTATTCAATATTTTTATCAATTATAAAAAAAAATTATTGCAAAAGTAATAAAAATGGTTTTATATATTGATTTAATCGAAAAAACATATTTAGTAACTGAGGTGTAATGCTTTAAGTCTATATAATATACGATATAATTCTATGCTTTAACTTTATAATAAAGTTTTATATATATATATATATATATATATATAAAGAAATAGATATATTTATATGAAAATAATAAAACTAAGATATGAATAGATATTGTATGGAAAATAGTAGTGAATGTAAGGGAATGGTTAGGGAATGGCATAAATCTGATGACATTATTATCGTGTTTTAAGTTTGAGTGATTGCGAACCCAAAAGAGACTCCAATTGTTTGTCTCTCAGATCTCTTCTATCATCTCATAGTTGTTACGACTGATTGCACGGGTATTGTGAGCCCAGTTTCCGCAGAGTTTAGTTATGTATTGTCATATCATATACTCATATCGTCACATATAACTCACATATTGTTCAGTTTATTGAGGCATACAATATGTGTCGACTTTTTTATGATCGGCTCAAGAGCTCCCATCTCTCTCTCTCTCTCTCTCTCTCTCTCTCTCTCTCTCTCTCTCTCTCTCTCTCTCTTTCTTTCTTTCTTTCTTTCTTTCTAAGCCAGTGTCGACCGATTTATATATAACTGTTCTCTCTATATATGCCTTAACATCCGGTCAGTCTAATATGACAACTATATTACAATGTCTTATAAGTTAGTAAATGGACTTTTGTCTACACTATTATATAACTATTGAAATTAATGCTTTATATAATATACCAATACTTTTATATTATAAGATAACCTCTATATTTCTATTGCAAAATGTTTAGCTAACTGTTCAACACTCAGTTACTTATTATTATTATTATGATTACTATTGTATCGCAAATACTATAATAATAATAATCTCATCGGGAAATTACTCACTAATATATTAGTATTTCACTAAATCTTAAATCATAATCTCTAATATGTTATATATTTATGAAACCGCATTCACTTAATATAATCTCTTAAACACTTGTTATTATTATGTTTAATGTAATATTGTTATAATATTGTTATATTATTATATTTTGATGCTATTTACGGTTAAATGTTTATTTTATTTCAACATAGAAAACATATAAATAATAATTAATATGAAAATTTTTATGTATTAATTGTAAAAATAAAAATTGTAAATTAAATTAATTTAAGATCAAGTGTTTTATTGTCAAATTTTCAGAAATTTGTTATTTAATGTTAATTATTAATATCAGTATTTAGTTGAATAACTTTCAGTTGATTCTCTAATAATTAAAAATAAAAGTTGTCTTTAAATTTTGCTACGATATTAATATCATCATTGGGTTTAAAAAGTTTATATATAATTAAAGTAATATTAACAGTAGCTGTATTATTGGGGTGTGTGTGTGCTAACACACACACACACACAAGGGTTGGTTAATGTGATTTGGCTTAAGTAAGAAATCAATCTATTTTTAAAATCTGTTAATTTGATATTCAATGTGTAATTATCTCGATTTAAAACACCAGTAGTGATGGCAATGAGGAGATTCAATGAGTTGTTTCTTATATTATACATCCGATTATGTAATCATTGATATCATTTGGGCTATACGTGCCATACATATCTTAAAATTGCAAATTAATTTTTTTTTGTATGAATAAGTTAACTTTATATACATGTATATAAATTTATATGAATAACCTTGATCATATTAAGCATATTATAATTTTCATTTTTATATAAAAAAACTCAAATAAGTAAGACATGTATGAATAGACAAGAATTCAATGTATGTTTCACCCGAATATCGAGCAATATTTGAAATTTAAACTTTCAATTAATAATATCCCCTAAAAAAGTTAGTTTCAATGGCCAATCACTCGTATATTACAATATTCAATATTGTCTGTCCACTTATGCCTTTAGGGCAATCATCTAAAACCCGGCACATAAAACATACCATACAATACATGACTTTCTCTATTATTCATACAATTTTATTAAAATAATTTTGTTTATTGAAATATATATATATAAAAACAATGTACTGTATATGTATATAAAATAAAATAGATTTTAAAAATACAAGTTTTTTGCTGATAAGTACTGTATATGACTTATTACTTATTAGGAGAGCCCTTACGTGAGTCCAACTATTGTATTGCAATCACCAAAAAAGGCAACCAAAAGTGATTTTTTTTTGTTTATATCAATCATTGTTCAAATAATATCAAACAAAATTCATTCAATTGAGGCACTCATTTGTTTGTAGGTCTCATTTGTGTAGTTGGGGACAGTTATGTATAAAATAAAGGACTTTGCTTTTTGTATTTTTTACAGTACAGTAGTAACAAAAGTTAATGTTTGATAAAACATTTACATTAATTTTATTTAAAAGTTTAGTTTGATTATTGATATTATTATTGTGTAACTCTTTTTTAAAATTAATAAGCATTTAATTATCAAAAGTTTTGATAAGTATTGAAATAATTCTAAGATAAATTTATAAATATTTATTAATAAAAATAAAAATAAGATACAATATTTATATTTATGTATATTTATAATCTAGTTATTACCGGTAACTTAAATAAATGATAACATTATAAATTTAATTACAATGTTATTATACATTATTTAGATCTCTTATGTACTAAAAATCTAAATATTTCTATTGTTATTCAAGAATTTTTTTAACTAAAATAAAACAAATTAAGTTAAAACCTGATATACTGTATTATGGCTTTTAAAAACAATTATTTTTTCAAGATTAAAGATAAGAGAAAAATAAGTCACTATAAAATTAATTCATTTGTTTGTTCATTAAAATTATACTTAAAACTCAATAAAAACACACATTAGATAATTTAATTCATTGTTTTAACACAAGTTTATATATATTTGATTTTTTAATTAGTTTTCAATTTAAGAAATACATGTGTTTTTATACATAGTATTTGTTTTTTGTTGTTGCAGTAATTATGATAGACTTAATCGTTAGCAATCAATTAAAAAATGATATTGAAATTAATTATGATATATTGAAATACATTATCACTAATTTTGTTGATTTTTTTCGCTAAGAATTTAATCCTTTAATAAACAAAATCATTACTTATGAATCTAAATGTTAAAGAATATAAGATTTTAGATAAAATATTGTGAGAAAAGTTTAATGCATTATATAATAAGTCATATAATTGGCAACAGATGTGATAAACCTTTTTGTTTGTAACAAAAAAAGTGCTAAACATTTACAATAAATAAATAAGTTTTATATTTTATTATTATTTATTTTAAAACAAAACAAAAAAAATTAAATTAAAATTTATAAACAGTATCATTAGTAATAATTGCACAAATAGTGTTAATTAAATCTAATATTTAAATTACTGTTAATTTTAGTAATGATAAATTATCATAATTGTATTAATGATTAACAATGTTAATCTAAATATTTAATAAAAATAAAAAGCGTGAAACCTTAATTTAACAAAAATATATTTAGTTTAATTTGCCCTAAATGTTTGTAAAGAGTGTATGTGTATGTGTATGTGTATGTGTATGTGTATGTGTATGTGTATGTGTATGTGTATGTGTATGTGTATGTGTATGTGTATGTGTATGTGTATGTGTATGTGTATGTGTATGTGTATGTGTATGTGTATGTGTATGTGTATGTGTATGTGTATGTGTATGTGTATGTGTATGTGTATGTGTATGTGTATGTGTATGTGTATGTGTATGTGTATGTGTATGTGTATGTGTATGTGTATGTGTATGTGTATGTGTATGTGTATGTGTATGTGTATGTGTATGTGTAT